GCAGCTGCTTGGCCTGCTGTGTTCATCCAGCCCTGCACCTTGTTGTCTCGGATTCTCCAGCATCTGCAGTTCCTACTATCTCTGCACAAGACAAAGACAGTGCAGGTCAAGCCCAGACTTGCCCTGGAAAACGAGATTAGTTTGTGAATTGGAGTACAATGCACAGACTCACTGGAGCCTTGGATTCCTGTCACAACCATGTGTGGAGAGGGGAACATACCCTTGACACATTGGGGAATAAACACTGTGACCTTAACCTGGAAGGTTGATTATCTGAGGGCTAGAGAACATTCTGGATGGATGTAACAGGGAGGCATGAAGCAGCACACCTGCAGCCATTCCCTCAGTGAAGACTTAACCTGGCTCAGCAGCTAAATCTGACCATCTGGAGAGAGAGAGAGAAGGCGACCACGTGTGAGATCAACATTCGCAAAGTTCATCAGAGCTGACTACACAGTTGGGCAATGTTTAACTGCACACATCCTAGTTTGGTAGCCAGTTGTAGTTTAGGTAAGGATTGCAACAAAGACTTAACGTTGCGATTGGTAGAGTAATTAATGTAAGAAATGGGAGTTTTGTTATGAAAGAGTAGGGATGTACACAATATTTGATCAGACGGCCCTTTTTGTATTTTGTGAAAAGGAGTGCAGTGAATTGCAAGTTGATACTGACCCACAAGTATAGTACCCTGAATAAAACAAGCTTACATTGAAATGGGTCGAAGTATCCAAAGCACTGACAACAACCAATAGAAATTAAAATGCCAGTTTTGACATCTTAATATCACAGAATTGTTACAACACAGGAGGCCATTCTGCCTATCATGCTCACCCATCTTCAAACAAGCATCACTACGTAGTGTCTAACTCTGCTTTTGCTCCATACCCTTGCATATTATCTACTTACAAATAATTATTCAATGCCCTCTTGAATGCCTCAATTGAACTTAGTCATAGAGATGTACACCACGGAAACAGACTCTTTGGTCCAACTCGTTCATGCTGACCAGATATTCTAAATTAATCCAGTCCCATTTGCCAGCATTTAGTCCATATCCCTCTAAACCCTTCCTATTAATATACTGATTCAGGTGCCTTTTAAATGTTTGGAGATAGCAAGAACTGCAGATGCTGGAGTCAGAGTCAATAGTGTGGAGCTGCAGAAACACAGCAGGTCAGGCAGCATCAGAGGAGCAGCAACTTCAACATTTCAGGTTTATACCCTTCATCAGGACTGGGGGGTGGGGGGTGGGGTGGAGGGAGCTCAGAAATAAGCAGAGGGAGGGGGTGGGGCTGGGGGAAGGTAGGCGGGATGGTGATAGGTAGATGCAGGTAGGGGGTAATGGAGATTAGTAAGTGGGAAGGGTGGGGTGGAATTGTAGGGAAGAAGATGGACAGTGAGCGGTTCCTACGAAAGGCAGTTAGGGGTGGGTAATATCTCTTTGGTCATGGGGTCGGATTGCAGGCGGCAGAAGTAGCGGAGGATTATGCGCTGGATGCAGAAGTTGGTGGGTTGGTGTGTAAATGTAGAGTGGTATGGCCTTTTAAATGTTGTAATTGTACCAGCCTCCACAACTTCCTCTGGCAGGCTCATTCCATACAGGCACCACCCTCTGCATGAAAAAGTTGCTTCTTAGGTACATTTTAAATCTTTTCCCTCTCACCTTAAACCTATACCCTCTGGTTTGGACTCCCCTACCCTGGGTATTCACCCTATCCATGCCCCTCATGATTTAATGAACCTCTATAAACCTCAGCCTCTGACACTCCAAGGAAAATAACCCTTGCCAATTCAGCCTCTCCCTATGGCTCAAACCTTCCAACCCTGCCAACATCCTTTCTGAATCCTTTCACGTTTAACAACTTCTTTCCAATAGCAAGGAGACCAGAAGTGAATGCAGTATTACAAAAGTGGCCTAACCAATGTCCTATACACCCAAAGCATGACCTCCGAACTCATGCATTCAAAGCATTGACCAATAAAGGCAAACATACCAAATGCCTTCTTCATTAACCTGTCTACCTGCGACTCCACTTTCAAGGAACTATGAACCTGCACCCCAAGGTTTCTTTGCTTGTCAACACTCCCCAGGACCTTACCATTAAGTGTATAAGTCTTGCCCTGATTTGCCCTACCTAAATGATGCAACTCACATTTATCTAAATTAAACTCCATCTGCCACTCCTCGGCCCATCTGATCAAGGTCCCGTTGTACTCTGAGACGACCTTCTTTGCTATCCACCACACCACCAATTTTGGTGTCATCTGTAAATTTACTAACCATACCTCCTTTATTCACATCCAAATCATTTACATAAATGACAAAAAGCAGTGGACCCAGCATCGATTCCTGTGGCAGACCATTGGTCACAGGCCTCCAGTCCAAAAGCAACTCTCCACCACCATCCACTGTCGCCTACCTTCTAGCCAATTTTGTATCTAAGTGGCTAGCTTTCCCTATATTCCATGTGATCTAACCTTGCTTCCACCACATTTCCAGCCAGTGCTTTCCATACCTGAACTACCTGCTATGTGAAGAAGTTGTTTTCTCACACCACTCTTCATTTGCACATTGCTTTAAATCTATGCCCTTTTGTTCATGTTCCTTTTATGAGTGTGTATAGCTTCTCCCTTTCTATTGTATCCAGCCTGCTCATGATTTTGAAAAGGAGCACAGTCCCAACCTCTTCAATTTATCTTCACAAATGAAGCTTTTTATTCCTGGAATCATGCTTGTAAATTGCATCTGCACTCTCTCCAATGCATTCACATCTTTCCTATAATGTACTCATAGAATCCCTACAGTGTGGAAACAGGCCCTTCGGCCCAACAAGTCCACACTGCCCCTCAGAGCATCTCACCCACACCCATCGCTCATAACCCACCTAATCTACGCATCCCTGAACGCTATAGGCAATTTAAGCATGGCCAATCCACCTAGCTTGCACATCTTTGGACTGTGGGAGGAAACCAGAGCACCTGGAGGAAACCCACGCAGACATGGGGAGAATATGCAAACTCCACACAGACAGGCGACACTGTCTGCGATACTTCAGCTGAGGGCTGACAAGTATCTTATACAAACTCAACATCACCTCCATGCTCTTGTACTCTATGCTTCTATTAATAAAGCTGAGGGCACTGTATGCTTTATTAACTGTTCTCTCCACCTGTCCTGGCACTTTCAATGATCCTGCACCTGATTTAGATTTAGACCCCAATGTCTTTCAATATTTTTTTCCTGCCATAGTATATCATCTCACACTTCGCTGTATGAAATCTCACTTGCCACCATCTGCCCACTCCATCAACTGTCACTGTACTTTGGGAAGTCCACATCATCCCTCTCACAGTTCACAATTCTTCTAAGTTTTCTGTCATCTGCACAACATTGGAAGTGTTCCCCGCACATCAAGATCCAGTTCATTAATATATATAAGGAAAACCAAAGGTCCTAATACCAACACCTGGGGAACTCCACTGCAAACCTTCCCTCAGCCTGAAAATTATCCATTGACCCTTGCTCTTCATTTCCTGTCACTCAGTCAATTTTGTACCCATGTTCCTCTTGTCGCTTTTATACAATGGTTTATATCTTTCCTCACAAGTCTGTTGTGAGGCACTGTATCAAACGTCGTTTGGAAATCCATGCATACCCTTGAGCCCTTTCTGTTGCCTCTTCAAAAACTCCAGCAAATTAGTTAAACACGATTTCCCCTTTAGAAATACATACTGACTCTTCCTAATCAAGCAAACTTTTTCTGTACGACTACTAATTCTATCTTAAATAACTGCAGAAAGTTTCCTACTGCCAAAGGTAAACTGACAGATCTGTACTGGTACGATTATCTTTACAACCTTTCTTGAATGAGACTATAATGTTTGTAATTGTACAATCTTCTGTTACTTCCCGAGTCCAGGAAAGATTAAAGATTATCAAAAAATGACATGAGAAACTGAAAAACATCAAAGAGCAGCAAGTGGTTTTCCAGTACATAGACTCTCACATTTAAAGAGACACGGAGAGGGAGCCTGAAAACAGATGCTGCAGAATCAAGCAAACTAAAAAAACTGTTTTGTACTCGCCACCCTGCAGATTGCTGGGGGGAGCAAATTCTCTGTTGCAAGAGATGTGACTTGTATTGAAGGATTTAAGAATCATGGAATCAGATAGTGCCTTGCAGCTGGAGATTAGTTTGAGAATACACAGAAGTTTGAGCAGGAAAAAGTAGCTTTTTGAAAAGCCAGCAAAAGTTTGTGATTTAATGTATGAGATTACAAATCTGGTAAGAACATGGCATAATATATTAACATTGTGAAAAAGCATTTTTAGTTGTTTCAATTTATTAATAGGGAGGTATTTTTCTGTAGTTTTGTATATTTATTGCTTATTAAATAATATTCAGTCTATGTTGATATTACTTTATTGTTTGTTACAGTAAAGGTATTAAATGTAAAACCTTCACAGAATCACAAAATTATAACAAGCAGATGGAGGCCATTCAGGTCAGTGCATACAATGCCATTCTCTTGCCTTCTTACTGTTCTTTTGTTATGTGATTCTTTTATTTAGTTACTGGAAAATGCATATCTTTTGAAAAGTTATTGGTCTCAACAGGAATTGTAGCAAATGTCAAATAGCATCAAATAAGCCCACACGGTGGCTCAGTGGTTAGTACTACTGTCTCACAGCGCCAGGGACCCGGGTTCAATTCCATCCTCGGGTGACTGTCTGTGTGGAGTTTGCACATTCTCCCCGTGTCTGCGTGAGTTTCCTCTGGGTGCTCCGGTTTCCTCCCACAGATTGGCCATGCTAAATTGCCCATAGCGTTCAGGGAGGTGTAGGTTAGGTGGGTTATAGGGGGATGGGTCTGGGTGGGATGCTCTGAGGGTCAGTGTGGACTTGATGGGCTGAAGGGCCTGTTTCCACACTGTAGGGATTCTATGATCTATGATTTAAAGTAATTTATAAAATGCTGCATAAGCTCTTTTGTTAAAGTTCATTGTAATCTTGTCTATAAAAATGAAAAATATGCTTAAAAGTCCTGAAAATATTCAGAGAGCAGATCTGAAAAAGACCAGTATTAAGGATGTACTTTAATTCTGTTTTTCTGACCCTGCACTCCCTCCTTACTCAAATATGGTCTTATACACAATATCACAGCCTTCTTTCAACAGTTTCAATTTTCAGAAAATCCTGGCAGCCTGTTCAACCCACTCTTTGGAATTTGATCACTGACGGTTGGACAGTGGTCAGTAGCAGTGGCTGATTTTAACCCTCCATTGCCAAGGTGGAGAGGATACAATTGTAGAGATTTGATGATTGAGAACTGCCTCCATTAAACAGACCAAGGTACGATCCTGACACCAGACATTTTTCTAAGCTGTCCGTTAGAGATCTTCTGAGTCATCAGATTTACTAATGCACTGAATTACAGTCTTAACAGACAGATTAGTTCAGTAAATGGTGTTTCAAGTCTCCAGGAAATATGCAGAGTGGAACAAGATGTTTCCTCACAGACAGGCAGGGAAAATTCAGAAGGTAAATGACCCTATTTCACAATCAAGCATTTGGAAGACAGTCACAAAACAGCACTATCAGAGAATAAGTTATCAGGCTGACTTCCAATCTGGAAAATTGAGTAAAATTGCATATATGCGACTGCTGCCAGATGATACAGTCAGTCAATATGGTCCACTACATACCACATCAAAACTCACCTCATTCCAGTTTGGTTCCATTGTGTCCCTGTAGACTCTTGTCTTTGCTTTGTTAACAAAGTAGCCAAATGAATCTACTTCTAATGTACAGTACAAATCTGTTCAAAAACAAGGGAAACAAATGTTTAAAAATTAACCACGAGAATTTGAATTAGAATTTCCGTATTTTAAAGATAAAAATAAGTGTTGGTACAACTAATTGCAGAAACAATTACAAACACACGAAAATAAGAAAGCAAATCAGACCCACTAGCTCTCATTATATTCATTCATTTAAAATATAATATCCTGCACCAGCTCTTCTAGTTGTTAAACAGCAAATCCCAGGGGTAACAAGGAGGAGAACAAAAGTCTGTCACCAATTTCAGGAGAACTTCAGGAATTTGCTTTTCAATTCCCAGTCCATAATACACTGTGACTACAATTAACTAATTCAATTTCTCTCTCCAGCATGTGTCCCAAGTATCTAAAGCCAGAAAAACAGAAGACTGTACAGGATTAGACTATTCTTTTTTACAAAAAAAACCACTCTTAAAAGGTGGAAAAGATCACATTTGTCTCTATTATCCTCTAGCCCTAGCTGCCAAAATTTGACCTTGCTTTAAATTTATAACATTGTCTCTGATTATTGCCGTTTTTTTAGATTATTCTTTCCTGTTGTTGAAGTTTTCTGATTCTGTAATTTTCCTCTTTGGGATGTTGTGGGTTATGAAGTTTTCAGAGGATCTTTTTCCCCACACTTCACAGTCTTCCAGCTCTGAAGCCTAGTAATTAAAGACTTTGGAGGTCTTCTCCTTGCCTTAGACATCTGCTCCTTTTCCAGCCTTGTTTTTACTCGAGTGTTCTGAGTCTTGGTGTCCATTCAGTGTTTTCCCACTTTTTTATTTAAACTTAGCTACGTCTTCAAAATCTTCTCTGAGATTCTCCTGAGTCAGACTTCCCTTATCAGCAGTGTCCCTTGGACTCAGTTTTAGCTTTAGTTTTTGGATCTCCTTTGCTAGCTGCCACATGATTTATCTTGTGGTTTAAACCAGTACTGCTACCTAAACATTGAGATACCCTTCTGGAGTATCTTAGGGTGTGGTATGTCTGCATGCACGCTGTCCCTGAGATTGCCTGTTCCTTATCACTAAGTCTGAGTGTTCAACCCATGTACTGAGCTAGTCCTTTATTTATATCTGTTCATAACAGGTACTCAAACACAGCTCTCTGCTTTAGTGTCTAAGATCTCGCTCTTCGTATGCTCATTCTCCACTGGTGTCTTCTTTCTCATTTATTTCAGATCAGATCATCAATAATTTCAACTTGAATTAGATGAATCTCATTATACAACAATTAAGATCTGAAATGTACTGCCTGAGAGTGTAGTTGAGGCATTCAAGAGAGAATTGTATCATTACAGTATCTTAAAGAAAGAATGTGCAGGGATGTGGGAAGAAGGTGTACTATTAAGACAATGGCTTAGTTCTTGATCTCTGCTCTTAGCCAAGGTCATAACTGTAAGTGCTGCAATTGATCTTAACAAGGTTGTAATCAAATTTGTCTGCCCTCTGACTGGGCAGGAGAGATTTTGCTCTTAAATTGTACTATGGAAACCTACTGAAAAACAGATATAGAATGAGAATTTAACCGGATGTCCTCCATAATCAAAAGGTCAATTCATGCTTAAGACACATGAAAAATTACCACCAAGTAAAATATTCGAGTACCCTGTACTGCTGACATTGGTGGAACTTTACACAAATGAGATTCCTGCAGGATTGAAAGGGGGAAGGGTGAAAAATGATGGTTTGCTCATCACTGCCAGCATTCAACAAGAAAACAAAATCTCAATGAGAAAGTGCACTTTGTAGTAATGCATGAGACTGTCTAAATGCGTCAATTAGATTACTGAAATTCAATCACTCCCCAATGTCTATATACATCATAATTTATAAAATCTATTTGAGCCTCCCTATAATATCATTTCACAAACATTTTTAGACATCCATTATATTCATTTACTGACTTTTGAAATTTAAAATGGATCCATTTTCCAGATGCCCATGACTGAATCATGTGTACTGTAAAACTAGAGGAAGAAGCTCAGAATTCAGAAACTAATAATGATTTAAGCATCAGTAACAGTAACATGTTTATTAACTTACTTGATATCTGTTTGAATCCAGTAGCTGAGTGGACAATTACATTCAGGAACCCATAAAGGCCAGGGGATTCATCATCTGCGAGCAAAGTGAAAGCATAGTGAATTGTATAATTAACAGTGAATAGATGTGCCATTGTAATTTGCTCTCATCTTTTCATAATACTATTTGAATAAAATAATTTTGTGTAATTGATTTGTCTGGTCATGTTTATTAAAAACCCATCTGAGAAAAGTTATTAGATCATTTTAGAGAGGATTTAGTAAATATGAGGACTGTCAACAGTTCTCTGGGCAAATAGGGAAGGACAGTAAATGCTGGCCTAGCCTATGATGTCCACATTCTGTGAATGAATAAACAAAAAACATTTGAATTAAAACAAAACCTTCTGCTTACGAGGTACAACAATCAATCAGAAATGAAGAAGAACCTTACACAGGAATCAACTCTAGGTTGAATATGTTACGCATATGAAGTCATCATTCATTCATAAATTAAAATATAACAGGCTTTCACGTGTGACATTATAACTACGATAGACCCATAATCACTTACTGTTCTCAATGAGTAAGACCAACATAATGTTGATAAAGCAAATGCATATTGAGTGGTTTGAAGTTTGTTCCACGCTTTCTACAAAATGTTGGTGAATTGGGCAACAGTACACTAACTTTAAATGTAGGTTAATTTTTCTTTGCTTTATAGGCTTAGTGTACTTAACAAATTTTTTAAGCCATGGCAACATAATTTTCTAACACTAAATTTCTCAATTGGTCATCTTTCTCCACACAAACAGAACAAATATGCTTCTGTGCTGAATGATTCCTGTATCAAGATTCCTGTGCCGAAAACGGCTAAAACTCATAGCCAGCAATCACAGAAATTATATCAATTCTAGCTTGGAGAAACACAACCAATTGTTGATGCAGATTTTTTTCAGAACTCACTTGGTGAATTGATAGCAATTCTGTCAACATGACATTGTACTAAGATTACTCTGTAGATTCAGTAACCTGAGGCTTGTGGATTTATGTTTCAGTGTGCTGCTGATGTTTTATCAATCAAACTGATTTATTAAAGAGCTCCCATTAAATAAAATGTTACTGCAGGCTGCAATGCTTCCCATTCAAATAACCTTGCATTCAAATACACTGGTGGGTATGATTGTTCTACTTGTATACAAGGGGTATATATATTAAACATTCAACAATACTCAATGATAGTAAAATAAAACAAAGAACTGTGGATGCTGGAGATCTGAAACAAAAACAGAAATTGCTGGTGAAACTCAGCAGGTCTGGCAGCATCTATGGGGAGAAAGCAGATTTAACAATCTCAATGATAGTAAATTGTATACTATCAGCAGACTAGCCTCTTGCAGTACTTCTTGGAGACTAATAGGGATAGCATCAAGGGATATGGATATCCTGTGGGAAGGTGGCATTGAGGTGGACAATCAGTCATGGACTAGCTGGATAGTGGGTCAGGCTCAACAGTACTCCTATTTCTATGCTCCTAGGACAATGATGAGTTGGTGGAATGAGTGGACAGGCAGACGAGCTTCAACTCAAATAAATGTGAAGTAATTAATTTTGTTAGGAAGAACATGAAGAAACAATGCAAACTAAAGGATGCATTTGAAAGAATATGCAGGAGTAGAGATATCTGGGTGTTTATGTGCATAATTCATTGAAGACAGTGAGACAGGTTCAGGCATGATGTCAGAATAGGCACGATGGACTGAATGGCCTCCTTCTGTATGAATTAATTCTTTGATTCTGTGAAGTTCAGAGATAGGTTAATAAAGCATACAATAACCTAAGCTTGATTACTTGGGGCAGAGTACAAGGAGGTTATTGTATAAGCAACTAGGTCAGCCTCAGGTAGAGTATGGTGTTCAATTTTGAGTGCCATATGTTACAAAGAATGTGAAGGCATGAAAGAAAGTGCAGAGAAGATCCATGCAAATGGTTGTAAGGGTGAGGAACTTCAGTTATGGAGATAGTTGAAGAAGTAAGGACCACTTTCCTAAGAAGGGTGAGAGGACGGTTAATAGGGATTTTCAAAATCATGAGGGATCCAAACAGTGTAGATAGTGAGAAACCGTTTACAGTCCTGAAAGCATTTAGAATAAGAGGGCAGAACCGAAAAATTTACAGTATGTAAATCCTTATCCTCATCCTCTCTTTGCTTCTTTTACGAACTAAAAGGATTTACAGACTGTAAATTGTTAGGTTCTGCAATGCACTGTTCGAAAGTGCAGTGGTTCAAGTGAGACTTTTAAAAGGGAGTTGGACAATTATCTGAAACAAAAGAATGTGAACGGGTTACAGCGTGAAGTGAGTTTTTCCAACCAAACAGTAATTATATGGGGATAAAACTGTCCTCATTTGCAAGGCTTACCATGTACAAAACAGCAAAGCAATGTGTGGTGGGTTCCAGTAAATCATATCATGAACACATCTCCTCAGGACATCCTGAATGTTTGTGGCTTAGCACCTAAATTGTTCCTGCCAGTCTGGTGTGGATAAATTATCCTACAACTGAAAACAATACATTTAATCAAGGTGAAATATCCTGGCTTCCAAGCTGATCTTTATGTAAAGGAATTTAGCTTCTTCTATGACAGCGTGAATAGACGATGTCTGGGTGACTACTGACTGTGACAACAACTTCTTCCATTTCTTAATTAGATTAGCCAGTAGTGCTCATGCTGTGTGATTGTTGAAATGCCCTAATTTGTTGCAAGCAAAGTAAAGATTACAGAATAGTATATAAAGTACTTGAAAGTCTGTACATTTAAAGAAGTTTCCTAGGTTAACAGTTGAGATAGTGTTCCTGCCAGTGCAAAATAAAGCTGCTTAACCTTTGATAGAAAATACCCTGTGCTGAGCATCTGTTTAAAAATATTTCATAACACAGGGAGTTGTGCCACTGGGTGCATTGCTCAGTGAAAGAAACAGTGCAGATATAATGGGTCAAATGGCCAACTTCTGTGCCATTATAATTCTATCCTACCTTGATTCACTCTTGAGAACTCCCAGCAATTGACACACATTTCCAATTAAATTCTCACTGCTTGGCTAAGTTCGATCAACCTGCACATTCCACAGTTGACAATAGAAACTTATATTAAGTTTCTAAATTGTTTAGCTTAGACTTTTTGAAGAATGATACTGCATTTAAAAAATCCGTGAACAAATCAATTATCTCCACTTACAGAACATCAACATTTTCTTTTTAAAAGATTTTTTTGAACAGGCTAAAAGTGAACCACCCTTTAAATCATGTACTCTCCAAATTAATCCTCTTGTCAACACTGTAGGCTCCAAATAGTTAATATAAGAAGAATAGAATAATTAAGGAAACAGCATTCCCATTTCACATAATTGATAAATAAAAACAAAGGCTTACATACAACAAATTAATAAAGCAAGACTGTGCCTGTAATTCCCCAAACACCAGGCTTTTGTTCCTGCTCTAAATTACATCAAAAGGATATATAACAGACAGTGCCTAACTGGCTTCTGAAATTAACTTTTTTATTTTTACGTATAACATACTTGGAAGTGATTATACCATTGGAACATTACCTATAAACATACTATAATGTTAAGCAAAGTATGCTTATAATTTACCATTGGCTTGTGACAATTTTAAACTGCAATAAAGAGTCCTTCTTCATAATATCTCATTGACAAAGTGCATTATGCAATACCTACTTACACTGTTGATAGTGCTGTGATGCGTTTCCAATGTAATTAATCCTTTAAACAAAGATATGCTACAATTTACACAACCTGCTAAATGATAAATTTGTATCCTCCATGATATTTACCATGTTTCTGTGAACAACTGCTCTGGCTATTCCCCGAGATCCAAGCTCAATACCATGTGGCATCATATGTGTGCTCACGACCTTACTCCACAGCAGCACCAAATCACCAGGTGGTTCCATTTTATTCTTTGACTCATTTACTGCATTAATAAAAATGAGCCTCCACAATGTTCGTTCAGATCCTTTTCCTGCTCCACTTTTAGCCAACTCTGTCCCTCCTTCCAATCTCATCTTTTTTTATTATATTTTGTGATCTACTCTAGCTATTTCTTATGAACCCACAACAATGAATTTAGCTTCACACAATGCCCTTCTTCCAGCATCTTTGCATTCCCACTTACATCCTTGGCCAGTGCTTTTCTTCCTGCAGACTATTTGTTCTGTCTTCAGAATTTCATTCCTTCTTTCTCTTGTTGCTTTCATCAAGAATTGCCAACATTATCATCTCAACTTCTCTATTCACCTCACTCACTCTAAGCTACCCGCTTCTGAACTTTCAGCTCTCAGTTTCCACCCTGATATTGACATTTGACCTGTTCAAAGGATGGTACTGTTATCCCTTAGTGAAAAGATACAAAGTTACACAAACATCTGAGAAAAAAAAATTCCTTATCTGTCTTAAAAGGGCCAACACTAATTTTTGAATAGTGCCACCATTATTCGACTCATGAAAGGAAACATCCTTTCTACATTCACCTAGTTAAGACCATTCAGCACCTTAGAGACTTCAATCAAGTCACCCCTCATTCCTCCAAACTAAGGTGGAAGCAAAGATAGTAGGAACTGCAGATGCTGGAGAATCTGATGGAGGGTCTAGGCCCGAAACGTCAGCCTTTTTGCTCCTATGATGCTGCTTGGCCTGCTGCGTTCATCCAGCTTTGCACCTAAGGTGGAAACAAGCCTAGTCTGTTCAACCTATTTTCATAAGACAACCATTTCTAGTAAATCTCCTCCGAATCAATGCCCAATGCACTGACGTCTTTCCTTAATAAGGGTGATCAAAACTATGCACAGCATTCGAGATGCAGTCTCAACAATGAACAACTGAAGCACAACAATCTTATTTTTAAGTTCAATTTCTCTCGTAATAAAGGATAGCTTTCCATGAGCATTCTTAAGTCACTTGCTGTGCCTGCATGCCAGTGACTCATGGACCAGGACGTCTAAATCCTTCAGCACCTCAGTTTTCTGTTTAAATAACGTTCTGTGTCTTTATTCTGTCTCTCAAAGTGATCGACTTTATATTTTCACACGTTATACTCTATCTGCCAAATTTCTGCCCACTCACTCTGCATCCTTCTTATGACATCTTCACAGTATACTTTCCTTACTATCTCCATGTCATCTGAAAATTTAGTCATCACACCATCAATTCACTCATCATTGCTATAAATTAAAAAAAGAGGCCAAACACATGCCCATTTGTCACATCCTTCCAATCAGAAAAAGGCCAATTTATTCATACACTCTTTATTGCCAGCCAATCTCCTAACCATGCAAGTATGTTACTGCTTCACAATGAGCTCCCACTTTACACAACAATCTTTTTTCCTTGGACCTTTACCAAATGCCTCCTGGAAATCCAAATGTGGTACGGTAATAGGATCTCCTTTATCCACAACGCTTGCTATTTCTTCAAAGAATTACAATAAATCAGTTAAATGCTATTTCCCTTTCACAAAATCACACAAATGTTTCCTAATTGCTTTGATTTTTACCAAGTGCATAATCACAACCTCTTTAATGATTGATTCTAACACCATTCCCACAACAGATATCAAGCTAACTGACCCACAATTTCCAATTTTCTGCCTCCTTCCCTTTTTGAATAAAAGGGTTATATTTGCTACTTTCCTGTCTACTGAAACCATCCAGGGAATTTTGGAAATTAACACCAACACATCTCTACTTCATCAGTCAACTTTTCTAAAACACTAAGATAAGTCTATCAGGACCCGGAGGCTTATCAACCTCCAGCTCAATCAGTTCGCTCAGCATCATTTTTCCAGTAATCATAACTTGTTCAAGTTCCTCTCTTTTGATTTGATTTGATTTATTGTAGTCACATGTACCTACGTTCAGTGAAAAACTTTGTTTTGCAAGCAGTACAGGCAGCTCATCGCAAACAAGGACATACAAATCATAGGGTGCTTAAACTGTGGCGCACTTCCTTCAACTCCTGACTTATCTGTTACAGGAATGGTTTTCATGTCCTGTATAGTGAACTTACAAGCAAAATATTTATTCATTACACCTACCACTCTTTAATACCTCTCAACACATTCTCAACCTCTGAAGGACCAACGCTTACTTTATTTACTCTTTTCCTTTTTAAGATATCTATGAAAACATTTGCTATATGCTTTTTTCACATTTCTAGCCAGCTTCTTCACATGTCCTGATTAACTTTTTAGTCATTTTTGACATGTCATCTGACTTATCACTTATCTTTGTACAATTATATGTTGTTCTTTTAAGTTTGATGCTTCTCCTAAACTTTTTAGCAGATAGTCAGCTGGATTCTTTTTTAAAGTAGTAGAAAGGCATGTTTTCTGAGTATTCACAAATATCCCTTCAAATGTCTGCCACTTCTTCTCAGCAAATCTATCTCCTCACCTAGTTTTTTTATATTAATTTGTGGGATGTAGGTATTAGGAGCTAGTGCTTCCAGCCATTTCTTTATATCATGCGGAATGTATTGAATGAAGACTGACAGCTCTTACGCTGGAGACCTCTGAAAGAGGCCAAGATCAATCATTCACTTGGTACGCTTGACTGAAGTTTGTTACAAATGATTAAACTTTATCTCTTGTATTGATGTGCTGCACTTCCCCCATCACTGAGGATGGGGATAGTTGTGGAGCCTCTTCCTTCAGTGAGTTGTTTAATTGTCTACCAACATTTATGATAGGATGTGGGAAGACTGCAGACGAGAATTCTGATCAGTTGCTTGTGGAATCGTTTAGCTCTATCACTTTTTGCTTATGCTGTTTGGCACAAAAGTAGTCCTTGTATTGTAGTTTCACCAGGTTGGCACTTTTTTTTTGTAGGTATTCTTGGTGCTACTCCTGACATGCCCTCTTGCACTCTTCATTGTACCTGGGTTGATCTCCTGGCTTGATGGTGATGGTAGAGTGGTTTTTTTTTTATTATTCATTCATAGGGTGTGGATATTGCTGGCTGGCCAGTATTTATTGCCTGTCCCTAGGTGACCTTGAACTGAGTAGTTTTTTAAGTCATTTCAGAGGGCAATTGAGAGTCAACCACATTGCTGCGGCTCCGTAGACCAGACCAGGTAAGGATGAGAGATTTCCTTCCCTGGAGGACATTATTGAGCCAGATGTACTTTTTCTGACAATTGGCAAATGGTTTCATGGTCATCAGGGGATTCTTAATTCAAGATTTTTTTACATTGAATTCAAATTCCATCATCTGTTATGGTGGGATTTGAGCTTGGGTCCTCAGAACATTAGCTGAGTTTCTGCATTCATAGTTTAGCGATAATACTACCAGGCCATCACCTAAAATATATCAGACTATGAACTTAAAGATTTGTGTTGAAGGATTAGAACACAGAACAGTACAGCATAGGAAGAGGCCTTTTGGCACATGATGTTGTGCCGAATTTTGCTGATGTTGATGGCCTACAGCACCTCATGGGAACCCAGTCTTGAGCTGCTAGATCTGTTTAAGGTCTATCTCATTTAGGACAGTGATAGCGCCACATTTTTGTGTCCACATGACTGTGCAGTTGTTGTTCTTATCAATACTGTCATGGACAGATATAGCTGCAGCAGGTAGACTGGTAAGGAAAGATCATGTATGTGTTTCCCTTGTTGGTTCCCTCACCACCTGCCAAAGAACCAGTCTATAGCTATATCTGTTAGGACTCAACTAGCTCTGTCAGTGGTGGCAGTTGCTGATCTACCCTTGGTGGTAGATATTAAAATGTCCCCCACCCAGAGTACATTCTGCAGCCTTGCTGTCCTCTGTGCTTCCTCCAAGTTGTGTTCAATATAGAGGAGTACTTTTTCATCAGCCGACACAGAGAGGCATTATGTGGTGATTGGCGGGAAGTTTCCTTGCCCATGTTTGGCCTGTTGCCATGACTGTCGATGTTGAGGATTCATAGGGCAATTCTCGCCTAACTGCAGACTACTGCGCTGGGTCAGTACCTCAGCTGGGTCTTTCCTGCTAGTGGGACAGGATGCACGCAGGGATGGTTATGGTGATGTTTGGGGAAAGAAAGGTGTAATTCTGAGACTATGACTATGTTAGATTGTTGCTTGACTAGTTTGCATGACAGTTAGCACTAGCACCCAGGGTTGACAACACTCTTTACTCTTAGCATTTCCGGTGCTTTAGTTGGGGCCAGGTGGTATGTCCTGTTTCATTCTAGTAGTTGATGCAGTTGAATGTCTTTCTAGGCTGTTTCACAAAACAATTAAGAGTTAACCACTATGCTCTATATTCACATGCAGGCAAGACCAGTTAAGGACAGCAGGTTTTTTCCCTAAAAGATATTTGTGATTTGATGGGTTTTTACAACTATGATTTTACAACAAAATGGTTTCATGGTCATCATTAAATATTTACCTCCAAATTTTTATTGAATTCAAATTCTACCACCTACTGCAGTGGAATTTGAACCCAGGTCCCCAGAACATGAGATGAGTCTCTGGTTTACAAGTCTAATAACACCACAACTCATCACCTCCTGTGTGCCAGGTCACTTCAGCTAGTTCAGCATTCATGCCCACAAGTTGTCTATATTTTGGTTTAATATGCTAGTCTTAGTCTTACTCTTCACCCTTTCAAACTGAATGTAAAATTCAACCATATTATGATCGCTGCTACCTAGAGGTGCCATTACTTTGTGGTCATTAGATAATCTTATCACATTACATAATATCAAGTCTGGTATATCCTGCACTCTGGTCAATTCCAGAATGTGTTGCTCTTAAGAAGCTCTCTCGAAAGAATTTTACAAATCTTTTGTTGAACTTACTACTGGCATGATTATTATAGTTCCTTTATCATAAGCACATAATATTTCTTCTTATCTGCTACTTCCTACATTGTGGTTACTGTTATGGAGCCTGTATACCATCCACTAAAGACTTCTTTCCTCTACTATTCCTTATCTACTGCCACACTGATCTTACATTCTGATCTGCTAAACCTCTAACTATTGTACCAATACCATCTTTGAGTGCTAGCCACCCATCTTTACTAGCTTCCTACTGTTCTTACTTGACAATAAAAAAAAACTGTACATGGGCTCATTTTCATGCCAAATACACAGTCCAGTGGTCATGTTTTTGCATAGCACACTAAGTCATGTGCCTTTTTGAGCATACCACTCAAGTCCTTCTGCCACACTCTGGCAGTTGTAGTTCTCACACTCCACCCTTCCACCTCCCAGCACAGCACTGTTTCTCCCTCAGCAGCACTCGATACGATATACAACAATGTCAGGATCCCTCACAACAGCTTCTGACTCATTGTTTTCAATTTAAACTAGGGGCGGGCATTAATTAGGAATTCACTTGGGTCTCATCTGAAAGATGATAATCCCTGACAGTGCAGCACTCCCTCAGTACTATATTTAAGTGCCAGGTTCAGACTTCTGTTTTTAAGTATCTGGAGTAGGACTGAGAGTAGGAGACTTGTGTGGAACATTAAACCTGAATGCAAACTGTTGGGCTCAGTAGGCTGTTTTCTGTTCTGCAAATTATTTTTTAAGAGAAAATATGACAAAGCATTAGGAAATATCTAGCTTACAGCGATGCTCATTATATCATAAAGACATGTTTTGTATCTTACCTTCTTTATTGATAGTTAATGGAATATTGTGAACTGTTTGCAGCTTCACACATGAATTTGTGAGCATCTGTAGTTCAACAGAAGTGAGTGAAAAACTCTTAAAACCTACAAAGAAAACACATTTTAGCTATTTACTGAAGATGTGTGGTTAGCAGTAGGACTTGGAAAGTAAGCAAATATTTTTACTTTGTTTTATTTTTAGAGGCATCATAAGATACAATATTGATAAAGTCCACAATCTTAACATAGAAAACATCACTGAAAAGGATGAAGTAATAGTGTTCAAATACACTAAAATGCCTGGATAGCAGCATTCTGGAAGTTAAGTACAGAGAACTGAATCATTCTGTCTTGATGAGCATGACATTGCCTGTCCACAAGAAATCTTTTGAACACCAATTATAATTCTGTTCTTAATTATCTCCTGCTACAAGTCTGAACTGCTGCTGGGCTGCAGCTTCATGTAGGACATTGACAATGATACAAAATAAGGCTAGAGCGAAAGGAAACAGAATAAAGGACAAATGAAAGCAGAGAGAGAAAGGGACAGCATGAGCACAAATGAGAAGGGAAGAAGAGGAGCAAGAGGTGGAAGGAGGAACAAGGAGAAAGGGGAAGGAAAGGAAAGAGGGTGAGTGAGGACAGGGAGGATGGAAAGGAAGAGAGTGAAGCAAAGAGGAATAGAGGGAATGAAACTGAGAAAAGGCGAGGGTAGAGAGTGGAACATGGTGCAAAGAGAAATAGAGGAATAGAGAAATAGAGGAACTGAATGAGAAAGAGAGAGATGATCCAGAACATACATGTGAAAGACCCTCTGATTTGTTCTTCTCTTCAATTAGAGTTCCTATCCTGAGCATGATACATAGCAATATATAGAATTTACAACACAAAAACAATATGTGGCTACAGGTCCATGCAGCTGACACACTCCACATGAGATTCCTCCCATCCTTCTGTACATTAATGGAGGCACGGTGGCTCAGCGGTTAGCACTGCTGCCTCACAGCACCAGGGACCCGGGTTCGATTCCAGCCTCGGGCGACTGTCTGTGTGGAGTTTGCACATTCTCCCCATGTCTGTGTGGAGTTTGCACATTCTCCCTGTATCTGTGTGGGCTTCCTCCCGGTGCTCCGGTTTCCTCCCACAGTCCAAAGTTGTGCAGGGTAGGTGGATTGGCCATGCTAAATTGTCCACAGTGCCCAGGGATCTTTAGGTTAGGTGGGTTAGACATGGGAAATCAGGGGTAAGGAAATGGGTCTGGGTGGGATGCTCTTCAGGGGGGCGATGTGGACTTGTTGGGCCGAATGGCCTGTTTCCATACTGTAGGGATTCTATGATTCTATGAACAAGTACACCCCAATAACCTCACCCCATCAAAATGTACTTCAGTACCTTTCTCCCTCACATATTTATTCAGCTTCCCTTTTAAATTAATCCAGCCATTCTCTGTGGCAGCAATTTCCACATTCAATCACTCTCTAGGTAAAGACATTTTCCTGAATTTACTATTGGATCTATTACTAACCATCTTAAATTCATGGCAGCCGAGTTCTGATTGCCCGAAACTGAAAACATTCTTATATATACCCAACTGAACGCATTCAGAATCTTAAAGGCCCCTACCAAGTCACCTCACAACCTTTTCTCATTTTTAAGAAAAAGTCACCAGCTACCACGTATTTCTTTTCCTGATGGGATCCTCTTACTTCTGGTATCATCCTTGTGGACCTTTCTCGTATCTTCCCAGGGAATCTCAGTTCCTTTTATTAGACAGAGACGAGAACTGTGCACAAGTTTCAAACTTCATTTGGCATGGCTGAAGAATGCACCTTGATAACAGTCTGGCTAAACCTGCTTTGGCGCAAACTAAATAGAATGACAGCTTCATGCAAAGTTCTAGAAACCTTAAATGAAAACAGGAAGTGTTAGAAATACCCAGGCCAGGCAATATTGTGCAGAGAGCAACAAAGTTAACATCAGAATAGAACACCACTCTATATAGCAGATATAATAGGAAGTCATCCTTTCACAACATGGGATCATGCCATGAAAGTCATAGGTGATAAGTTTACTTTTGTATAACTAACTATTCAATTCACATTCAGATATTCTAAGCGGTTGATTGCAAAAAAACATGTGTGTAGTATTGAAATAATTCCTTATGAATAAGTCTGGCATAGCAATATCATAAATTTAAAAAACACTAACTCCCACAACGGCTACGTCTCTGCAGGTATTTTATGTGCAAGTCTCAAGGAAACTTTGTGTTCTAGGTTTGCAGACTCTGTCCAAAGTTTTAGCAGAAATGAAATAGAATTACTTACATTTCTTTTGCTGTTCACGGATGATTTCTCTCCATTCAGCCCTCTCATAATCTGATGATATCAGGAATACATAGCTCTACAGATAGAGGACATCTTACAACATGCAAATTTCACAAAAGTCACCATAAAATTAGTTGTACAATTTATCAATATATACAAAACATAGACCTGACAGCAGCCTTACAAAATCAAAGTTCCAGCATCATTACTCAGATATAAACCTAAACCATTAGTTCAGAAACAGAAATGAGCAAAAAAATACAAGAAAAAACTTGGTGAATTGATGAGATTTATTCTGATTTTCTCTCCATGCTCTTTCCTGAATTATATCTGAAAAATAAATGCAAGGGCTCTGCCCCGATAACCCTTCATGGAAACAAATTCCAAAGACCCTCAACCCTCTAAGAGAAGAAATTCTTCCACACCTCAGTCTTAAACTGGCACCCCTCTAGTCTGAGACTATGCCCTCTGGTCCAAGGCTATCCCAGGAGGGGGAATATCCTCTCAGCATTTCCCCTGTCAAGACCCTTAAGAATTCTATATGTTTCAACAAGGTCACCTTTCATTCTTCTCATCTCCAGTTACTGTGATTGGTTCGCTCGCTGAACTGCTTTGTTGGTTTGCAGACGTTTCATTACCCTGCTGGGTAACATCATCAGTGCAGCCTCCGATGAAGCGCTGTTGTGTTTTCCTGCCTGGTATTAAAACTCTGGGGTCCGTTGGATTTGATTACCTCATTTCCGGTTTTCATTCGCAGTAGTGTAAATATAGGGTCTAGTTCTATGTGTTTATTGATGGCCTTCTTGGTGGTGATCCAGGCCTCTAGGAATTCCCATGCTTCTCTCTGTTTGGCCTGTCCTAGGATCCTGTTGTCCCAATCGAACTGGTCGTTCTCCTTATCCATGTGAATGGAGATGAGTGAGTATTGGTTGTGTCTTTTTGTTGTTAGTTGGTGTTCATGTACTCTGGTGGCCAATTTTCTTTCTGTCTGTCCAATGTAATGTTTGTCAGCAGTCCTTGTGTGGAATTTTGTATATTATGTTCATTCTGTCCATAGCGGGTAAGGGGCCTTTGGTTCAAGTTAGCAGTTGGCATAGGGTTGACGTGGGTTTGTGTGCTACTCTGATGCCCAATGGTTGTGGGAGTCTTGTGGTCAGTTCAGATATGTTCTTGATGTACAGTAGCGTGATGAGTGTGTTAGGGCATGCAGTACCTTCCTGTTGTTGTTCGTGTGATTGGCATCATCGTATCCAGTATCCATTGTCCTTAAATTCTTGGTGGAGGTACTCTTCTTCTTTTTGGCATAGTTCCGGGTTGCTACAGTGTGTTTTCGTGCAACTTCGTTTGTGGGTTTTGGGGTGGTTACTGTTGAAATTCAGTACTTGGTCAGTCTGTGTGGCTTTTCTGTGTACCTTCATCAGGAATTCCCTGTTGGCCCTGCGTTCTACAATGGCGTCCAGGAATGGGACTTGTTTGTTCTTTCCCTCCTCCCTGGTGAATTTGATGCCGGTGAGAGTGTTGTTTATTAGTTGGTGCGTCTCCTCTAGTTTGGTCCGTTTGATGATGACGAAAGTGTCGTCCACGTATCAGATCCATCGTCTGGGTTGGATTTGCAGAAGGGCCATGCTTTCGAGTCTCTGCGTCACTGCTTCTGCTATTTCCAGAGATAGGTGGCCCTATGGGTGTCCCATTGATCTGTTCGTAGATTTGGCCATTAAAGGTAAAGTGGGTTGTGAGTCATAGGTCCAGTAGTTTCAGCATGTTGTCTGTGGAGATGGTGTCACTTGGGTCTTGTTCTTTTAGTAGTGTTACTAGTCTTGCAAGTGGTATGTCAATCGATGTGAATAGGGCGGTAATGTCAAATGACACCTTGATCTCGTCATTGTCTACTCTTATGTCCTTGAGGGATTTGAGGAACTCGTGGGCTGAGTGGATCGAGTGGAGTGACTCGCTGATGAGGTGCTTTAGTCTTTGTTGCAATTCCTTGGCTAACCTATGTATTGATGTGCCTGGGAGGGAGACTATGGGTCTGAGGGGTACTTCCGGTTTGGGAGGCTGTAGGATCAGGGGCTGTTTGTCCCTTCTGGTCTCATTTTTAGGTAGTCCGTTTTGTTGATTTGTCCACTCTGTTGGAGTCTCTTTAGTGTGTGGATTATTTTGTTACCCAGTTGTGGTGTTGAGTCTATTTGCACTTGCCGGTATGTGTTGGTGTCTGCTAGTAGTGTCTGTGCATTAGTGAGGTAATCCCATTTGTTTAGTATTACTGTCATGTGCCCTTTGTCCGCTGGTAGCATTATGATGTTTTTGTCTTCTCCAAGTCCTTCTTTTAGGGCCTTTCTTTCTGATGTGTTGAGTGTGTCAAGTTCTCTCCTTCTGGTCAGTGTCAGGACCGCTGTCTGTCTTATGGCTTGTTGTGTTTCCTCATTGATGCCATTGGTCTTCAGTGTGGCTTCTAGTGTGACTAGAAATTCTGTCTTGTTAGCGTCTCTGTGGTTGTAGTTGAGTCCACGTATTAGAACCACTTTCTCTGTGTGTTAGTTTCCTGTCTGAAAGGTTTCTTAACCAAGTGTCTGACCTATGGTTGTCCTTTTGGTGGGTTAGTTTGGCTAGTTTTTCTTGTAGGATCTGTCTTTTCTTGGTTCTTGTTATCTGTTGACTGACGTTAATGGCTCATTCTACGTCTGTTGTCCAGTCTAGGTTGGTAGCGTCTAGGAATAGGGTTTTTTGGCGCGTAATTTCTCTGTCATATCTATGGAGTCGGTTGTGTGCATCGTTGGTCATTACCTTCACCATCCTGTGGCCATTATGTTCTGCTGTCCTATGTGCATGTTGGTTGTGATTGGGGTGTTTGTATCTCACACTGTGCAGTAATACCTGGTTCCGGAGGCATCCATGTAGGAAGAAGAGTTGCTCGGGGGTAGCGGATGTTACCCAGCAGGGAAATGAAACGTCTGCGAACCAACGAACCAGCTCGGTGTGCGAACCAACCACAGCATCCACAACCCAAGCTACAAATCTACTCAAGAACCTTACAGCTCCAGTTAGAAGAGCGCCAACCTGTTTAGCCTTTGTTCATAAGACAATCCCTCCATACCTTCTTTGAACTGCCTCCAACAAAATTATAACTTTCCTTAAGGGGACCAAAACTACTCACAATATTCTAGATGTGCAGCACCTTGTACAGTTAAAGGAAGACTTCCCTACTCATACTCCCAACCCTCTTGAAATCGGGCAACATTCCATTAGCTTTCCTGACTCCCTGCTCTGCACCTGTGTGCTAGCTTTCTGTGTTTCATGTACAAGTACCCAAAGTCCCTCTGTGCTGTACTTTTCTTCACTTTTGTTCTCCCTTCCAAAATGAACAACTTCACATTTACCCACATTGTACCTCATTTGCCAACATTTTGCCCATTTAACCTATCAATATATCTCTATAAACTGTACATTCTTTGTAATTTGCCTTTCTACCTATTTTTATGTTGCCTGCAAATTTGGCTACAGGATGTTCACCTCCTTCCTCCAAGTCATTAATATATATTGTAAACAGTTGCAGTCCCAGCACTGATTGCAGTGGAATCCCACACTAGTTACAGGTTGCCAACCTGAAAAAGAACCCCTTATCCCCACTCTGTTTCCTGCCCATAAGCCAATTCTCTGCTCACCAACATACTACCTCCAACACCATGATATTGAAATTTGCTCTTTTTGACACATCAAACTGCAGTGGGTTGAGCTATAGAGAAATGGGATTTATATTGTGCCTGCTATGTTGAGTCTCTGAATTCAAGTATTATACTGTGGTGAAGGCCTGGTGCTTCTGCCCCAAAGATGAAAATTAAGTAATCTACATGCTTGGATTAATGTTACACACACTGTGTGGAAAGTACTATTTTAATTCTCACTCAAAATTATTATACATTTTTAGGATGCTCTAACCCTTGTAGAAAACAAGTTTGAAATGTACAATCCCAGTGAATGGATAGGGTGATACTTACCTTGCCATGCCTGTTGTGCACTCTGAAAGCCATGTTTGGAGACATCAGCAGTAACAGCGATTCTTGTTCTGACAGTTTCTTTTTCAGTCGTTCAATCACTTTGCTGCCTTTATTGGCTTTCTGAACAAAAAACACAACATTGAAATGAGTACTTTCAGAACTTCAAGATTTTGGTGGGATGCATATTTCCTTTCTAGATATTCACACAATGTAGATAGAGAAAACCCCATTTCAACTGAAACTAACTCTTTATCCAGTTTATCAACAACTATGCTGCATGAGTCTATGACATTATTTGATATATTCAAATCACTGCGCTAATGGTGCCTCCCTGTCCCCTGAAATTAGTAATTATTGGTATCAATCATTGTTCTGGATACTCCACAGGATGGATATTTAGAAATCACAGCTGAGAATCTGAGTTTCCAATTGTGAACATTGCAAGCTTTGCCAGAGGAATGCAACACAAACCCTGGAAGTCGTGGTTCTCCAAAAATGACCTGGATATGGTCATAATAGTCATGCCGGATCTGTCAGCACAGATACTTGAGGTGATTGCCCTGTACTCACACTCACACTTGTGCTGATATGTTTAGAGATGGTCCGAGCTCCCCTGGCATCCCCATCCTCCCACCTCTGTCTCTGCTCACAACCTCAAACCCTCCTCCACCAGTCACCTCCGACATCCACACAAGTTCTTCTATCTCCATTTTTCTGTTTCTGCTTCCAACACACTCCCTTTCCTTCAGTGCCACCCCATGCCATCGGTGCATGGCTTTAGTCATAAACCCATCCCCATTCTCCAGGCTTGCCTCATGCCAATCTACCTCTTCCAGGCCTGGCACTGCTCACAACCCCTGCTCCTGGCACCAAAACCTCTGTGTAAATCCCTCACCCCATCACAGCTGTGGTTTCCCAGTTTTGCAGCAGGGGACAGGGGTGGGCAATGTGGCTAGGTATCATGGGGGTTGGAAGCTAAGCTGGGGGCAACAGGTCCAGGTCTGTGGAATTGGTGGGGATCAGGGAGCTAGAATAAAAAAGTTATTAAAAGATTAAAGATTTAAAAAAAAATTACTTGTCACTGAGCTAAAGGGAGACCTCAATACCTTGAGCTCATGATATTAAATGGGAAGCCTGTCATTCTGAAATTGCACCTCACCATTCAACCTCCCTACATACATCACTAGGTTCACTGTTATCCCAAAACAATAATCCTGAAATTTTACAACAGTATAGACATTTATTTTTGTGATGGTCTCTTCTTGTCTTAATCCTCTCTTACTTAAATGTGCAAATTGCTTCTTTGTCCAACAAGAATTATGCAGGCTTTGAATAGATTGAATTTCCTACTTCCCAAAGGTTTCAGCAGAAACATACCTTGACCTTCACCTTTAATCTTCCTTCCAATAACCCTACCCATCACAAGATGAGTTATAGGCATGTCTGAACTCATTACACAGGCCAAGCTCTAAGTTTGAACAACAGCTACAGTAAACTGAAAATATCCTAAAATGGAAAGAGTCCAAATGACCTTTCACCTTTGTTAGTAAATTGTAACACAGTGAAACTGTCCTTGAAATAAACATTAATTTTCAATCTTCTCTCAGCAATAAGAGAGTTGCATCAGATACCCATTGTTACAATAGACGGGAAGACGGATTAGAATAAAGTTGTTTAATCTATAAACTTTTTTTAAAAATACAGTTGTTTGAAAAGTGCTAAAATCAAAGATCTAAATCAGATGAAATTAACAGATACTACATATGGTTCCATAACCTTATAGTTTACCTCACATTTTAGATTACTCTAATACTTAAAGTAACTTTTAAGTGGGGAAACTCAAGATAAATTAATCCAAATCCAGCTTTACATGGTGTCTTACAACAGGGTCAACAGGAAGTAGTGTCAGAAACTGCCTCTGACACAGCATTTAGAAATTATTTATATCTTTAAACCCCTTAAATTGTATCAGGCCTAATTTTGGGGTCATCCAATAAAATTAAAACCCTCGAGTCAGTTTGAAATTGTTCTTAAATTAAGCACTATTTTGGGCTTCTAGTCACTGAAAAATGAATTGAACTTAGACTACTCACGTAACATCGAGACCTTGCAGCAAATAAATAAAGTAGGATCTCAGCTTCCACTTGTAGCGGAAGGCCAGAACTCCCTGTAACCATGTAACCTATTCCTCCATAATGATAACTAATTTAAAAAAACAGCTTTAACAGTGAAAAACTCAGGGTAAAAACATAACCAAAGAAAAATAAACAGTGGAAACCAAAGTAATATTAGAAAGGATGAATAAAAGCTGTGTAAAAGAACTGGATTAAAATTTCCATCAGTAAACCATGCAGCCTCTACCACATGCTTGTCTAATCTCTACGTTCATACATGTTACTATTTCACAGCTGCTGTCAGAGGGCCATTACACAATGCCCTCAAAAGTCTTAAATCATTTCCTATTTCTTAATTCTACCTCATATTGTAACTATTGCCTGCTTAACTCTCATATTTTCTATAATAGCTGATGTGATTTCATCCTCAATTATCTAGTTACTCCTCTACCAAAAAAGAGAAGTTGGGGATGGCTGATAGTTTGCCAAGGTGGAGGACTCAAAGAGACATACAGCAGAATTTTTCGATGTCAGGGTTTCTTGCCCTACCACCTCAAAAGTCGGTGGGGCTCATGTATCGTCTCTTGATGGTTGCCCACAGCTGTGCAGGTTGACTGGCTGGTAGTGGGCCTATTTGGGGAAGGCCTGTTTCAGAGAGCTGCCAGCCACCTGATTGCAAGAAGAGGTGGCCACTGTTGGGTCTGTACTGAGTAAAACAAAATGGTAGGAACCTAAGATGTCTTTCAGTGGAGCAAAGCTGGAAGGGAGGGTGAGGGGTTGCTTTTGTAAGGGGTGGATACCCAGAAGGGAGTGAGTTCCTGCTGGCTTAAAACAGTTCTTAAATGGCATCCAAAGGGCCTCAATTAGGTAAGGATAGGCAAGCTTTCTTAGTCTTGCCCAGTCTCAGAAAACCATAGCTCAGTTGGGAGTGGGAGCATAGATGGTGGGAAAGACACCTGCAGAATTTTACACACTCACCCTACCTGTAAACTTGCTGACAGAGAGCCAAGGAACTATGCCACAGTAAATTTATTTCTGTTTGCTCCTCTTAACAATGTTTTTGGGGATTGATAATTTACCTACTTTCAAAGATGCAAATCACCATACTATTTGCTGCTTCACTTTATTTACTGAATCCAAGATTTCATAACCTTGTCCTTAACTACCAATATATGCATTGTCAAACCACTCCAGCACACACACTTCTGTGAAAATAGACTGTTAAAAATGACAGTTTCCATCAATTTTATTTTGTCACTTTTGTCAATTGCACCTATTCCAACCAAAAGAAATGGAGTCTAGCCTAATCCTATTAGTTCTTGGTCTGTAGCCCTGTAGCATTTCAAGTGCATAGTTAAGAATCTTTTTAAAAATGTAAATGGGGGTTTCTGTCTCTACAATTCTCTTAGACAATTGGTTTAGGTTAGGCCTAGTCACAAAGCAATAGTTCCAGAACCCCAAGAGTCTCTGGGTGAGAAGATTTCTCCTCAATATTCCTCTAATCTTTCACTAATCACTAAGTGTATGAGCCTGATGTATTGATCTCTCTGCCCAGGGAAATAGCTTCTCCCATTCCCTCAATCTCACCCTTCATCACATTATATACCTCAATTAAATCTTTCCTCTATCTTCATTGTTCCAAAACAAAAAGCCCCAGCCTATACAATTTTTTTTTTATAGTTTCTGAAGAAGGGTCACTCGATCTGAAACATTAACTCTGCTTTCTTTCCACAAATGCTGCCAGACCTGCTAAGTTTTTCCAGTAATTTCTGTTTCTGATTTTCAGCATTATATTAATTAATATATTATATTAATATATTAATAGCTAATGTTCTCCAGTGTATATGTCAAGATGGCAGTGGAGTAGGATGCTCCAACCGGAGCTCCTCCATGCATTCTGATTATTCCCAGTTTTCTTGTATCTTCTTTCCCTTTTTTCCCCTCTTGGCGTTCTTTCCTGAGTAGAGCAGCTGAAGGCATGGAGTGGAGTGGGGACAACTGGCGGGCCCCGAGCACAAGAGTGATGGCCAGCATGCTGGAGGCTTGCGGGGAACGGGGACGGGAGGTTCGTGGGGAATGGGGACAGCCAGCGTGCTGGAGGCTCATGCGGAGCGGGGATGGCCAGCGTGCTGGAGGCTTGTGGGAATGGGGGCGGACAGTGTGCTGGAGACTCCCAAGGAGCAGGAACGGCCAGCATGCTGGAGGCTTATGGGAAATGGAAATGGCCAGCGTGCTGGAGGCTAGCCTGGAGCGGGGACTGCCAGCGTGCTGGAGTCTAACGTGGAGCTGGGATGGCCAGCATGCTAGAGGCTAGCATGGAGCAGGGATGCCCAGTGTGCTGGAGGCCCGTGGGGAGCAGGGACGGACAGTATGCTGGACGCTCGTGAGGAATGGGGACAGCCAGTGTGCTGGAGGCTCGCGTGGAGTGGGGACGGTCAGTGCGTTAGAGGCTCATGGGGAGCAGATACAGCCAGTGGACTGGGGGGTCCAAGCAGAGTGGGGACGGACAGAGTGCTGGAGGCTCGAGTGGAACAGGGATGGACAGCGTGCTGGAGGCTCACGGGGAGTGGGGACGGACAGGGCATAAGAGGCTCGTGGGAAGCAGGGACAGATAGCGTGCTGGAGACTCGCGGGGATGGCCAGCGAACTGAAGGCTTGTGGGGATGGTCAGCGGACTTGGAGACTCACTGGGATCAAAGAAGGTCAGCGGACTGAAGGCTCACTGGGAGCAAGGAAGATCGGCGGACTAGAGGCTTGTGGGGAGCAGGCATGGCCAATGGACTGGGGCCCAAGCGGAGCTGGGTCGGAAAGCGTGCTGGAGGCTTGAGCTGATCTGTGACAGCCAGCGGGCCGCAGGCCCGACTGCAGCGGGTCAGATGATGGACTGGGGGCCGGTGCAGGGTGGGTCAGTGGCCTGTGAGCCTGGGCAGAAGTGTTGGAAGCTCCCTGTGCTGATCTACTGAAGGACTGTAATGCTTATCTTTTTAACTTAGTTCTTATTTTTCT